GCCGGTCTGCAGCAGCATTGCCCTCAAAGACTCTCATCAGGGCCATGTTTGGGTTTACCTGGGGTTGAGGCCCTGGGCACATTTAAGGTGAGGAGAGAGGCAGTTCCTAGGGGTCTAGTTGGACTGGGGCTGCTGGAGAAAGGACTGGGCTGCAGAAGGAATTCTCTGGGGACTTTTTTTATCTGGGCCATGTTTGGGGCTGTCTGGTGTTAAAACTCTGTGCACTTCCAGCATTAAGGTTCAAACGGAGACAAAGCCTAGGGATCTAGATGAAGCAGGGCTGCAGACAGGCTGCCAAGGGGAGGTGTGGGCTGCCAAACCAGTTCTCTCCTCAGAACGTTTTAATCTGTGCCACATTTGGATTTTCTGGGCTTAAGGGCTACCTGGCCACTTTTAGGGTTAAGATCAGAAGAGAGACAAAGCTGAAGGGTCCTGCTGTGGTGGGACTGCAAAAGGGCTACCAAGGGCAGGTTTGTGCATCACAAAGAATTCTCGCCTGAGAATTTTTCCATCTTGGCCGTGGTTTGGGGTCTTTGGCTAAGGTCAGCCCACAGTTAAGATTAGGGATAGGGTAAGGGATATGGTTTATAAATGTTAGAAAGTCCCAGTGTGAGTTGTTTGGGGGGCAGGTGCTGATAAGGATTTGAAATGGGAAGTACTGGGATAAAGAAAGAGTTCTCCCCTGTGAAGGAATTCAGTCCTGGGAGGTCTTAAACAGAGGATGAGTGGTACAATAGATCTTTAGTTTCATGAGAATCTTACTAGTGCCCAGTTATGCAGGACTTCGTGATTTTCATTTGGAACTCAGCCGTCTTTATATGCTATTTGTTTGGAATCAAAACTTAACTTTCCAGTTTCTGCTCAAGGCAGAGACTTCGTGTCTTAACTGTTAAAGTCAGTGATACGACTCCTGATAGCTGGAGTTTCCCATTTGGCCCATTCAGATGGTGTTCTCCAGACCATTTGACCATTCTTCTCACCATAATATATCCATTAACCAATAACGTCATTCTTCAAGGTTTCTCACATTTGCCATGGGGCCTACAATAAATGTAACCTGATACAATCAATATGCCTGGTAACAGGCAATGTTTATAGCAGTGTATTAAGCATCAACATTTTTTGTACAGCAAACAAGAAAAAAAAAGATTTAGAAATGCATTTACCTGATCAAAGTAACTTGTGTTGCTATGTTTTTCCTTGTCTCCTTTTCCTCCGCTCCTTGGCACAAGGCACCCTGATATTTTGTGTTTGCCTTAATCTAGATACTAAACCTAACCATTTTTTTGGCACAGACTATTTATTCTTAAGGATTTTTCCCCATGTCTTGCCTGCATCCACTTGTGAAAATAGCTACACATTTCAGTGAGGCACCTGAAATAATCTGATGTTTTACAAATCGCCAACAGCCTTCTGAGACAAATCTCTGTGCTTTGACGTGCTGAGAGCTATTTTTTTCAATATGTGCCGCCTTACTTCCTGACCCTGACTGTGATCTCAGAAGGTTAACAGATTAGATTCTCTCCTATCAGAAAAGACCTACAAAGCCTTGCTTCTGGTTTTAGTCATTCAAGCAAAGAATCAGGCCGCTGGTCAAGAGATACTCAGATGAACAACTGTACAACAAGGAATTTGAGAACTAGCACTAGAGATTCCACCAGATCTCCCAAAACAGAATAGGATTAGGACCAGTCTTGTGTTTCTGCCTCCGAAGAGAAATACTGCTTTAGAATAAAAATGGTATACTTACTGTAGCAGAACATTTTGTGAAACTAATTTATTGGAACATCAACAAAGAAACTGAATTACCAGTGAAAGAAATTTATGATCTATAATAGAAGCAGAGGCTGAATTCAACCTCTAAAAACTATAAACAATATTTAGTTCTGATGGGTAGAAAAGAGAGTGGCTTCCAGAAGTCATCAGCAAAGAGGTCTCTGATAAACCAGCTGCAATCTCTCTCGTAGAATGGAAATAATTACGCAACATCAAAGTTCCTGTTTGGTGCTATTTGCAATTTTCTGAAACTTCTAGAGCTGAAGGTCTCCAGGTATAGTTGCTGTCTGAAGGTAAATAGTGCTGGAAAGTTTGGTCAAAGCAGCTCAACGTTCAATAGTTCAAGGAGGAAAAAATGAAGGAAAAAGCCCTATTGCTCTATGGAAA